TCTCTCTGGGTTTTCTATTAATATATTATATATTTTCAATTCACACTTAAGTTTAGCTGTAATATGATGACTTATTGAATATCAAAAATTTTATATTGGAATTTTCCACCTCATACCGACCACGGGTGCACTTAATAATTGAATTAAATAAATTGTGGAATCTTTTGACTATTTGAAACCCTTTCCCGGAAGGCAGCTTGAAAGTTGCTTTTGCTTCCTAAAAAATATATTTTGTGTGCATCATGTGGGGCGGACGTGGAAGATCCTAACAATCTCGGACAATGATCATTTGATGTACTCTCTCTTCGTTCAAAAATTATCATTTAATTTAAATTTTTATTTTTGATAAAAATTGAATTAAAAATGAAAACTATATTTATTAAAAGAAAATTTTAATATGGACGATAATTTTGAGACGGAAGGAATATATTTATTGTTTGGGGTTGCTTGATTATGTTAACAAATAAAAGTGGTCTAAATTATTAAGAAAATCGAGAGTATATATAATGTATGGGCTCGTTATACACGGTCTTAGTTTCAAAAATATTGGTAAATTAAACCATACTTTCTGTTGCCTAGTTAATGAAACTAGTACCGCAACAAACGAAATCACGTTATAGACGTAGCTATCAAAGAATAATTCTTTTTTGTTGAAGCATCTTAATTTTTTCATGTCATGAGATTCACTAACCACAAATATTTAGATAAGTAATGCCATCTTTATAGCAGTAAAATTCTTAAATCTTAATTGCGTATATAAAAAGTCAACAGAACTCGTGGATAAAAGTATATGTACATATAATCCACTGTCACAAGCAAAGCCTTTCTCATTGTTTTGTGTGTTACTTCTTTGGATAGCAGGAACGATTATGTCTCACTACGTATGTTGAGTTGTTTGTACTGATTTTAAATAATATATGAGTGGTAGATGAATTTTAAAAATAAAATCAGATTTTGATTAATATGCGAGGATGTGACACTATCTTATGGACACTAAGATATCATTCCGTAATAATTTTTAAAGGGAAAAAAAGATAGAATGACAAATATGTATAGTATTCCTACTGTTGAAAATAACCTAGTTGTATCTTATGTAGCACAAATAATTACACAATACAATCTAATTGATTTATAGCACAAATGACACAATATCTACTTGATTCATATTTCATTGTAATTAATTTCTGGAATCTCCAATATCTATTTTGCTTTCTTCCAGAAGTTGCAATTGTGCAACAAATCAATTAGTTAAATAGTTTATGCGATTCATCTCTCAGTTTTCCTATAGCAGTATGAAATGTGGTACACAACCAAAATTTTCATATATATAAACTCGGAGTCGTTTTTGTTCTTTTAATTAAGAAGCTTCAAAATCGGTCAATATTATATTGAAATGCTTAGTATAATTTACATCTTCAGAAGACTGCCATTAATTAATTTTTTTGTGTTGGTGGAGATGTTAATTATTGATAAACTCTATAGTGAGAAAAAAAAAAAAAAAAACCCTGCCTACCTGAAAAGGCCTTACATAGAGTTTACTTTACTTTATAGTTTTCTCGTTATTGGTTTTATGTATATTTGTTCATAAATAACCAGTGAATGTAAGAACATAAATAAACATGGAAGTCTTACCATTTTAGTTGATTCATTCGTAAAAACATTTTAGTCATACCAGTTTCATGATTCTTCATGTGTATCAACGCTGTTTAATGGGATTCTTAATTAATCATCAGAGCCTTCATCTTTTTGGGATAAGTTTTGGTAATACCCACTTCTCTGTCTATTTATTTTGCATCTTCATAAAAGCTGAATAAAATAAAAACATCAAAATCTGTACTCCCTCTGTCCTAAATGATTGTCCAGTTTGACATTTCATTTCTAGTACAATTTGAATTATAAATGAAAACTCAAACTGGACAATAAATATGAGACGGAGGGAGTATATTAGTAGATATTGATTGATGAGAAAATTCAAGAATCGGGTTTGATGTCTCTTCAGAGATTCCTGATTTGGGAGGCTGGATGATTTAAAAGATATTTAAAAGTAAAACGAACAAAATGGACAAAGCCCGAGTATGTATATTAGCTTGATGATCTCAATCGCATCAAGACATTCCCTCTCAAGTGATAAGCCGAAAAATTCATTCTCAACTTCAATTGTGATGAAGCTAGCTAGTTCGCATATATTAGCTTTTGCTACAGAAAGATAACAAAGTACTGAAGTCAGTGAATGGGAAAAAAACAACACGTTACGTTGTAATCTTTTCTCTGTTGACCAAATATTTTTCTATATGGAACAGATAAAAATCACGAATGTATAAGTCAAATACAAATTTTCTTTCCGCCCAAAATCTAATTCATTTCGTGAAACTAAAACAGTATAAGACTTTTTTAAAAAAAAAAACTCGACGATAATAGGATAAAAAGCATAAAAAGCAATTCGTCGAAGGCCAACACCTCTTTTCATGCGCATGAACCCTCTTTCTCCCCAGCTAGTTTCCCCTGAGAATCCTTAATTATCCAGAAATCAGGTTCCATCAGCAGCCGGAACGTATCCCACGACCGTTAAATTGAATCAAAATTGGATGAATTCCTTTTGGATGAATTCCTTTTAAGTATTGCATGGTACCCTCATGAGTTCCTTGTTGAAATCCTCCATGTAATTAAAAGTTTTGTGAAAAATTGGCTAAGATGGAAAAAAAAAAAATTAATAAAAGAGGTATGGCTCAAAAAATATTTTGTTATTAACGGTAGTACATATTTTGTTCAAAACGATAAAATTAAAACATTTTCACTAAAACATGTTTGCCCTTATTATCATGAGGCCAACTACAATTTATTGATTATGATTAGAATGAAGAGTTATATATATATATATATATATATATATATATATATAATTATGACTTTTTTAGCTCCGAACATTTGATTTCCGCCATTGGTGATCCCCAAGGTATTTCAGCTATCATCTTTGTTATTGATAGTTAAAGGTGTGCTGCCCCTATCCCAGCAGCAGATGAAACTAAATCATGTTTTTGAATCAGAGCTTGGACTGATGCATTTATATGAATTTTTCTTCCTATCCATTAACATTTGAATCAAAAGTTATCAGCACCTCAAGTTATCAAGGAATAAAGAGTGTTTGTTGAAATTTATAAATGAAGAGCGAGAAAATGTAGCTCTTGTTGTTTTCTTTGGTAGGTCATGCAACTCTAACTTGTAAGGGTTATGTTATAGAGTTTTGTCAATTAATATGACTAACGGTTTTGTTGAAAGGGTTTCGCGTAGGTAACGAGGGAAAATATTATGTATAGTAAAAGTGTTTTACTTTTATGATTTTGGATAAGATATCTAATGCCTTTTAATAAAAAATACTATCTCCGTCCCAAAAAATAGTCCACATTGAGTTTTAAAATTTGTATAGTATTTTTTTGTGATACCTTTTTTATTAATTTTTTTCCATCTCCAGTGCCCTTAGCCAAATTTTCCCAAAAGTTTTCGCGAAAATCTCAATTTCCTTGCAATACTTAAAAGAATGAATTTTTCAAACTCTTGCAAGATTGAACAGCTGGAATTATAATTTGCCAACAATTGATTTTGCAAAAACCGATGCAGCAAAAACAAGGAAAAAATTAACTTAGCACAAAAGTTTTAGTACCGGTTGTATCCCCGGCCGAAAAAAAAAAAAGTACAGGAAATGAACTCATGGGAATCAGCCGGGGATAGGTTTTTTTTGACGAGATTGGGATTAACAACAATAAAAATGTGGCTTGTTTCTATTTATAATCACAGTACTCGATCGTGGTTTTGGTGCAATGTTTTTTATTGTCGTATCTGTAATCGGTTGCAATCTATTTTTTGAGGCGTTTGTCTACTTTCTTAGTCAATGAAAAGAAATACGTACATTGTTAATTGATCATATAAGATTATTGCTCTTCTGTTTATCAAATACATTCATTCACTATATTATTCTGTTAATCGGGACTAGACACTGGAGATGCATGTAAGTTGTAACACTAGATTAAATATTATCGCGAGAAATTTCTAGAAAAAATTAAATTTTACACTAAGTACACAACATCTAATTGATTCATTGCACAATGCAATATTCTAATTGATTTATTTCTCAAATAACACATCAATATCTACTTGATTCATACCGTACATTTCACTGTAATTAATTACACAATATAATTCATTTATTGCACTAATTAATTTCTGGAATCTCCAATATCTATTTTGATTTCTTCACAAAATTGCAATTGTGCAACAAATCAATTAGTTAAATAGATTCTGCAATTCATCTCTCAGTTTGATTAACGATAGGAGTATGATACATAGTACACAACCAAAATTTTCATATATAATTAACTCGGATTTTTTTTTTAATTAAGAAGCTTTAAAACCGGTCAATATTATGTTGAAATGCGTAGTATAATTTACATCTTCAGAAGAACTCTCGAGTGAAAAATAAATAAAAATCCCTGCCTACCTGAAAAGGCCTCACATAGAGTTGAGTTTATAGTTTTCTCGTTATTGGTTTTCTGTATTGTTCATAAATAACCAGTGAATGTAATGACATAAATAAACATGCATGGGAGTCAATGTAGTTTAGTCGATTCAGAAAAAGATTTTAGTTGCACCAGTTTCATGATTCTTCATGTGTATCAGCGGTGCTTAATATGTGATTCTTAATCATCATCTTTTTGGGACAAGTTTTGGTAATACCACGTACTTCTCTACCTATCTTTTTATTTGCATCTTCGAAATGAATTACGGTGTTTTTGGGACATGTTTAATGTGATTGTTAATCATCAAAGCCCCCATGTATACATATTAGATTGATGATATCAATCGCATCAAGAAATTCCCTGAAGTGATAAGCCGAAAAATCACAAATTGAAGTCACATACACAAATTTTCCCCAGGTCCCAAAAACTAGTTCTGTAATTCATTTCGTTAAACTAAAACAGTACACAACTTTTTTTTTTCTTTTTTCTTTAAAACTCGACGATAACAGGATAAAAAGCATAACGAGCAATTCGACGAAGGCCAACACCTCTTTTCATGCGCATGAATCCTCTTTCTCCCCAGTTAGTCCCCTGAGAATCCTTAATTATCCAGAAATCAGTTCCATGAGCATCCGTCCCGTATCCCACGACCGCGACGACGTGATTAAGCTTAGCAGTTCTACCGCCAGGACAATCATGACTGAAAACCCCACGTCTGTAGGTATAATACGCCTTGTCGGAACAAATTCCGACCGTCACCGGCTGCGCCGCCACCCTCCTCTTCAGGGCTAATTCATTACCCTGCGGAACTTGCTCGTATTGGTCGATCTTGGCTTCCCTTTTCGTAATGGCGTTGGCGCAATACGTATGTTTGAATCCCACGTAGGAATAGAATTCTTCGGATGAAATTTGGTTTTCGAGTATATACTCGTAAGCGTCATCTGGATATCCTCCTCTACAACTCGATCCTTCAACACAATCAATTAGTTCTTGCACAGAAAGCTCCACAAGTTTCTTTTTCCTTATTTGTACTAAACCCTCTAATGCAGCTATGGTGCCAAATGCCCAGCAACCTCCTGCATGCATGCAGGTTTAGGGTTATATATTAAAAATTCAAACAGAACAATCATTTTGGAACGTATCTGATTTATTACCACAAGCAGGACTGGTTTGGTCTTTGACTGACGTGACAGCTCCTTTGGATCTCCAATCAACACTAGCAGGGAGTTGATCAGTCATGTTGTACATATTTCTTTCTTCTTCTTCATCATCTCTAACGTAGTCCTCGTCGCTGTCGGAAACTGGCAAATCTCCACAGAATTTTTCGAGTTCATCGTCGTCAAGATCAGCGAAGAAATTGATACCAAGATCGAAGGTGGTATTAGGGCCTCGAGTCCTGTTGAACTCCGCGATGTAGTTGAAAGTTTTCGTGAAAATCTGGAATCTCTTGCTTCTCTCTTCCTCGGTTGTGTAATTCTTGCCGTACTCAGTGATGAAATTCTCGAACTCTTGGTGTATGATTAAAGGGTCGATCGAATTTGGGGATGATGATGGATTTGGCAAAACTGAAGCAGTGGCTGATGATGATGATGATAAGAACCAGCCAAAAACAAGGAAAAATTCTACTAATAACATTAAAACCAAAATTTTAGCCATGGATAGATTTTTTTGATGGGAACTAGCTAATTGTCAGCTAGAATTTTGATGAGATTTTGGTTTCACAAATACGTTGAGGATTGGTGCTATTTATAATCATAGTAATAGTACTACTCGAGGGTTTGGTGCAATGATTTTGATTCTCCTATTACTAGTTGTAGTTTCTTAGGGATTTGTCTACCTTCTTTGTACCAATACACAAAAATTAATATTCTTAATTGATGATAACAGAAGGTACTAATTAATTTCTATCTTTATGAAATCTTTTAAATCAATAAATTATTATGTTAATCTGGACTAGGCCACACTAATCAAACAGAAAGTTGGAGTGTGAAAATGAAATGTTCGTGGATGGTAAAATATAGTTTTAATTTCTAACTTTAATTGAACATTAAAATATGTTATTGCATGATATATATAATAAAAATAGGGACGTCACACACAAAGATATTTTTCTTTACAAATATAATAACTTTACTTGTAACTCTACTTACATGTATATTTACTTGGCATTCCACATCACCTATCTACTTATTATGCTTTTATTTTACAAAAAAAAAAATGAAAAATATTCTTTTTTCTTTCCACTGAAAAATAAATTAAATTTCAAGCGAAGCTTTCAAGTCTCAGGTTTCATCCACCTCCCCCTCAGTGTGTAGCATAACCCTAAAACAAAAAAGAAAACACAAAAAATCAGGTTCCTCACACAATCTTGCCAAATTTAATTAGGTTAATTTTTGAGGTTTTAGCTTTTGTGGTTCCTGATAAATTTTGCGCAATGGATTAGTTAATTACTCATATGGAGATAAGAGATTGGACAGAGAATCCCAACAATGGCAGATTTGCTTCAGAATCAAAATTAATTAATGAAAACATATGCAAGAATCCCAACAATGGCAACGTGAGCACAAGTTTATTAGGCGTGGCTTAAATTAATTTCTTTTTTTTCGCCTGAGAACTGTGATGTGATTTTCAGAATTTTGAGAAAGGGGAATTCCCTGCTTCCGAATTGTGAAAGGGAAAAACAATAAAAAGAAAAGAACCGAAAGAAATGGATAAAATTTCTTTAAATTTTTTTTAATGAATGGAAAAAATAATAATTAAAGAGATGATGTGAAATGCCAAATAGATAGACAGGTAGGTAGAGTTATATTTTATTATATTAGAAACAAAAACCACAATTAAGAGAAAACAACACTATTTGCCATGTGGCATTTCCACATCATATTTTTAAAATAAATTTTTATTTACACATCTTTTAGACTTAAAAGCCAAATGTAGTCCCAATCTACCTTCACCTCCTATTTTCGCCAAAAAAAAAAAAAAACCACGGGTTCATAAAAAATCCAAATCTTCATCCCCATCTCCACAACAACCGACTTCCTAATCAATCCCTTCTCCACAATAAAAAAATAATAATAATTCCTCATCAATCATCAATTGAGAATATGTGGTGAAATATACTCCTTTCCTATAAGCATATTCAATTTTTTCATTAGTGATGATCAAATGCATCCTAATCGGATAAAATTTTGACTTCAAAAAATATTCTCTTTACCTCTCTATATAAACACAAAGGAAAAAAAAATTGATCTTGCTTCGGCTGTTGTGGTGGTGCAATTACAGGTATTAAAATTCAAATGAATTTATTTCCACAGATCATTTGTTTGGCTTTTATTATTTTTTGTTTTTTCTCATTCAAGAATAGTGTTATTACTATTATTTTTATGCGTCCATCCGTTACACCTACTATAGCCGTTGTCAGGTAATATGATGTGATTTCTTATCTGGTTATAAGCCTAGAATTTTTGTATGATTTTAGTTCTATTTGGATTGAATTGATTAATTGGTTTTTTGTTACAAAGTGTAGTTTTTTAAATTTCTTTTTTATGTTTCATTCAATTAGAGTGGTTTTCTTTTTTTTAATTATGGAGTCTCAGTTTTTTTTCCGTATATGGTCAGTTATGAAGTGTGTTTTTCTTTGTTTAATTGCTTTTGATTTTGTTTCATACTCCCAGTTGACCAATTATTATTATTGTTATTTTATTTTATTTGTAAATGAAGCACGTTTGTTTTTTCTTTTTTTTGTGTTGGGACTTTTAAGAATATACTTTTTTAGATTTGATTTTTGGACTTTTTTTAGTTCCTCATCATATAAATAGTTCATGTCGCTTTTTCTAATTAATTTATAGGGAAGCCTTTTATGAATTTGAGATGGAGAGGGAATGAATGATGTTTCTACGTTTATTTGTGTTTTTATACATCATTTTTACCTTAAAAAATAAATAAATTCCTCAATTTTTAATGGGATATCTTTTACTTTCTTTTTTTTTATTTGCCATGGTGAGTTGAGTTCTTTTTTGCTATAACTTGAAACCTATGCAAATTTATATTATTTTTATTCTCATATTTGTGATCAACCAGTTTCAATAATTAACCAGTTTCAAAATCATATTTTTGATATTTTACTACCTATAAACTTTTGGAAGAAATAGTTCCAACAATTAAGCGTATACCCTTTGGAGGAAGCTTACTACGAAGCTATTATATAAATCTCCAAAACTAAGTATTGATTTGGCATAAACAATGGAGAACAGTAATAAATCATCTTACTAATATTTAAACTTATTAGGATGTTTTTATATTTTGTCTAGCGTTTATTTCCAGACAAATATTTAATTAAGTTTATTTATATTTAAGAAGTAACACTTATAAAACATTTCTAAAATATTCAAACATTTCTAAAACGTACCTGGCCAAATACAATTTCTTTTTATGCCAAATATAAACATTTCTATGATCAAACTTATAAAACATTTCTAAATTCTTCAAACATTTCTAAACTATATCGGACCAAATACAAATTTTTTTTTTCAAATACAAATATTTCTAAGATCTACAGATATATTGGGCCAGGGTCGCGCATTGCACGACCAGACATTACTAGTTTGTAGAAAGAATATCATTACTTATATTTTATATTATGATTAGTGATTCGTTGCACTAACTAATGTCTGCTCTATTACACAACTTCCCAGATTGCCACTTAGGTACTGGACATGTACTATTCTGAGCAGAATGGTTAGCACCATTGGCACGATCGAAATGGATGACATGATTGCACAAAGAATGCGTACTGGATTTGCAAGACTTCTGGTGGAAATAGAGATTAGAGAATCGATGCCTAAGGGTATATCATATATGTTACGAAGATGAACAGGGTAGATTACAAGAGCAAGAAATCAGATATGAGTAGAAACCGGTAAAATGTGGGAAGTGTAATGGCTTCGGTCACGAGTCCACTGTTTGTAGAGCACTAAAAGAGAATGAAAGTAAGAGGATTGATATTGAGATTGGCAAAGAGAAGGGCAAGGAGTCTGGTAAACAGGCCAACGCTGCTGATCCTAGTGGAGTACCAGGGAATGTAGAGGTTGGTATGGCTGAAACGTTGGGTAGTACAGAAGGGAACATTGCTAAAGGTGATACTAAGAAAGCTAGTAACCTGGATCTGAGGGATAAAGGCCATCAAATTCAAAAGGAAGTGCACGGAAGGTTGATAAATCCGGCTAGTAAGTCAGCAGAGCCTAAAGAAAGGGGAAGAAGAGAAAGTATCCAAATACTTAATCAGAAAGGTATTAGAGTGGCAGAAGGGAATGAATTGTGTCAGTGGCAGAGAGGAGTCGTTGGGCCATGGATCATGCTTGGGGACTTCAACTGCGTGCTGCGGAAAGAGGAAAAGTTTGGAGGCACAGGTGAGCCAAGCTTAGATACTGATAAGTTCCAAAGTATGATCGAAGAAAATGAATTGGGAGAATTACAAACGTTTGGTGGGCTTTTTACTTGGTGTAATAAGCAGCTGGGGCAAGACAGAATACCATCAAGACTGGATAGGGTCCTAGTAAATGAAAAATGGATGGAGGACTTCCCGGAATCATACGCCACTGTAATGCCTGCCAGAATTTCTGATCATAATCCTCTGTTGTTGATAAGGGAGGGAGTAGAGGAGAAGAGTAAGAAGCGAATGTTTAGATTCTTCAATATGTGGACAACCCATCCACTATATAAGAAGGTGGTGGAGGAAGCTTGGACATCTGAAATTGAGGGCTGCCATCAGTTTAGATTAGTCCAAAAATTGAAGATACTGAAGAAAGGCCTTAAAGTTTTAAATAAAAGATTTTTTGAGGATATCGAGACAAAGGCAAAAATCAGCCAGGAGAGAAACTCCAACTGTTGCTAGTGCAAAATCCACAGGACTTGTGTTTACAACAGGAAGAGGGAAATGTTGTAGAGGATTATGTTGAGAAGAAGACTGCAGTATTAAGTTTTTGGAGTCAAAACTTAAGGAAAGGTGGATTCAAGATGGAGATGTTAATTCCAACTACTTCCATTCATGTTTGAAGCAGAGGTACAGCAGGAACAAGATCATGGGGATTGTCAGTTCATGGTGGAAAAGCTTACAGCTCGGCTGAAGTGTTGGAGTACAAGGAACTTGGCGTATGCAGGTAAGATCACACTGATCAATTCTGTATTACTTACCTTGCATTCATACTGAGCCAGCATGTTTATTATTCCTCAGAAGATTATTCAACAAATAGGAAAGATTTGTAGAGAGTTTCTTTGGGGTAGAAAAGTTGCCCTGGTTAGTTGGGCTGACATTTGTAAGCCAAAGATAGAAAGGGGACTTAATGTTAAAGATCCCAAGCTGTGGAGTAAAGACTTGTAAAGTAAGCAAGTATGGGATGTAGCTAACAAGAAAGAGAGTTCATGGGTTAGATGGGTCCATATGTACTACCTAAAAGATAAAATTCTGTAGAATAATGAGCCTCCTCTGGATTGTTGTTGGTACTGGAGGAAGTTAATGAAACAGAAAGAGATTGTTAAGAGAGGTATTGAGCAGCAAAAGCGGTCAGTAAGTGGACTAGATTTTTCTGCCAGAAAATGCTATGATTGGATGAGAGGAGATCATATAAAGCAGAAGGATAGTAAGTTGATTTGGAAATCTTACTGCACAGCAAAGCAGAGTTTAATTAGTTGGTTAGCATGGAAAAGGAAACTACTAACAAAGGACAGGTTGCAGACTTTGGGGATCCTTGTGGGAAATGATACCTGTGAGCTATGTAATGTCTCTGCTGAAACTCTGGATCACCTATATTTTGAATGTGAGTATGTTCAAGGAATTACCAACGGTGTGTTGAGGTGGCTGAGTATTTCTACCAAGATGACAGACTTAAACAGAAGCTTAGGCACATTGGAGATTCGGGAGGGTCAAACAGAAGGTATTACATGCTTGTTTGGTAGCTGTCGTCTACAATGCTTGGAGGGAGAGAAATGAAAGAAGATTTGGAACTCTGAAAAGGTCAGTCCAGCAGAAAATGAATTGGTAAAGCAAGAAGTTAAATGGAATGTTCAATATCATTGTAGGAAGGGTAGCAACGATGACATACGGTTTTTAGAGGGATTGAGAATATACCCAAAATTTTGTACAGAGTGATTGTGTTAGCATATGTTCAGTTGTAAATGATATACAGTTTGGAAGAAATAAAATTCACTTTGTTACCAAAAAAAAAAAATTAATTACCAAATACTCCAATATCTAACTGATAATTTATTTCTTCAAAAAAAAAACTGATAATTTATTTCACAGCTAATTATAAAATATTAGTAATTGATTTATTTATTGCTCAACTACACAATATCTAATACTCTTGCACTTAACCATTAGGATTTACCTCCTCCTTTATCCATTAGCTATTGGAAAAGAATGAAAAATGGGTTATAATCTCAAATTTTAATGTGTATTTTTTTTATTATTAATTTTTTGACAGAAGGAGTCGCAAAACTAAAATAAGATTCCAATATAAACATTAAACATTGATATCTAAATATGTTAATCAATCATCTTTCTATTTCTGAATAAAGTATTTAAAGCTAAACATTAATTTTTTCTTATCTAACTAAAATTTGATTTTTTTTTTTCGTTTATTCCAAATGTATGAGACATGAGTGGAGGGCATCCATCATGAGTGACCATGTTCAGTGAATCCATCATCCATGAAGCCTTCAATTGTGCTTTTTTTTTATCTTTGCTGGTGATTCAAGGAATTTGTTCAAATTGCTACTTAGCTTTCTGGGATATCATTTGTACTTGCTTTCAGCAATTTTTTTTTTAATAACGTTGATCATGTATTAGTATTAATGAATTAAATTTAGACAAAAGTAGAAAAGCATTTAATTTTCTTGTAGCATTTTCAATGTTTTCCACTCTCGTTTCCCATGGACTAAAAATCTATAAAACTAAGCAATTGTATGAACTCCAAGTTACGTAAGCCGGTAAAGATCTCCGGCGAACAGTTTTCTAGGTGAATTTGATTGAGCGGAGTCAATTTTTAGGTGGATTCCGATTTACGGGAACCTCTTGTTGATGATCAAACCAAAAAAAAAAAAACTTCAAAAGGAATAAGAATGAAGAAAAATGAACAACAATGCCAGCTGCTGAGAACTACTACATAGAGAGGCCAGAAAATAGATTTTAAAAACGCCTACAAAACAAGTTAAAACTTAAAATTGACATCATTCATTTGAAATTAAACAAGGACACACACACACACACACACACACACACACACACACACACACACATATATATATATATATATATATATATATATATATATCAGCCCGGCAACCGCTGGGAAATGACGAAGTTAAAACTAAATAAAAGCGACAAACGCCTTTTCTAACAAACACTGAAAACAAACAAATGCAAAGACTAAAACTTAAAACACAGACTACCAACTCTTTTCCATCACTCCAATGCCTGAAAAATTTGTCTGAATTAAATCAAGAGGGCAGTCTCCATATAATCCAGAACCATGTTGATTACGTTCACCCCCTCGAAAACCTGAATTTCACGGGTGCTGAAGTTGCACACTCCCGGGACAGCCTTTTCATCAATTCCGTTTTGGAAGAAGCACACGAGCCTCTCAGACTTGGTGAACCCCAGAGGCCAGTCGATTATTCCGTTGATCTCCATAGTGAAGACTTTATTCCAAGATGAATCAACACCATACTCCTGCATCGCCCATATGTTAAAATAATTATTTCCCCTTCCAGATCCTGGAATCCAGCTGCAGAAAAAAGCAAGCTCGCCTCTTAGTTCCAAGATGCTCCCACCTTCGAAAAAATCAGTTGCATCATAGCATTCTCTAGGCAACTTCATTGCTTTAATAAATCTGTTTTCCACGAGATTGAATGCCGCGATTCCACAAAACAACACATTCCCAACTTTTGCCAAACATACCCAGTGGATGGCCCCCTTCGCGAAGAAATGGCTCCAAGCAAAGATGACAGCAGGAGCATCTTCTCCACCATACGGATTCCATGTCCCTGTGGTCAAACTGTAAATGGAAATCTCGGTGATGTGAGATCTGCTACACACTTTAACAACTTTTAAGTCATTGTGAATCTCAAGCCACCCCAACGCATACTCTGTCCCTGCTTGAGACCAAGAACCACCATCACTTCCCTCACCCGATTGATCCAGTAATTCATCTATAACTTTGCATTTACTAAGAGCAGGATTCCATAGGATGACTTTCCAACCAAAATCAAACCTCAATGCTAAACCAACTAAACCATTACACCAACCCAAAACTCGATCCATCCCAGGCCTGACAGGAAGCGAATAACTGATGTTTCCCACTGGTGCAAATGTGACATCAGAAACAGCATATGCGGACTGTTCCTCAATAAGGAGGAGACTGTCATCAGCTCTGATATCCTTCAAATACTTAACATGAGTAATTATGAATTTAGGCGATTTGATGATAGATAGCCATAATTTGCATACAAGAATGCATGTGACAAGGTCCTTTGCAGGTACCCTTAAAAATACCTCAAAAAAGAGTTCAGGAGGTAGATCTGTTTGTAGCATTTTTCCAAACAAGCTATTTCAGAAATAAAGATCTACTAGATGATTAGTGGATGTGGGCTGAGAAACCTCCTATGTGATAACTACCAGAGAGTATCTCAGCACGGCAAAATCAAGGGAAATCAAAGAAAAGAAGATGATCAGCAGAAGCAATAGATAGAGTATTTCGTGCAATCGGAAGTGAGAAACTGTGACAGCTGGGCACTACATTACTAAATAGACAGGGTGTTACTGGCATTAATTGACGAAACTGCAATGTGGAACGAATTTTTCAATCCTTTGCAACGTGGCAAGACTTAGATGTTGTGTCACTGCATTTTTTCTCATGAGATTGTGTTGGAGTTCAGAGTAAATTTGTTTTTATGAAGGATTGGAATGGTCCTATAAACTCCAAAATCCTTGAACTAGCTAGTAGCCTTAAAACCAAAACGGTTCCTATTTACTCCCAGAATTGACCAAGAAGTAATGCGGTACCAACTTATCCTTAAAATTTATCCTCACATTTCATCACTAGTACTGTAAGAGACTACACTATCAAATCTGAATATTGTTTCCTGTATTTACTCTAATGCGCACATCTTGAATCCCCCAGGTCTCAACCGAGTTGTTGCGGTTCCAATGCCATTCCTACTTATTTTTAAGATATGTCCTCTCATTTCCTCACTAGTACTGTAATGTAAGATTATATGACAAGTCAATTTGACTCTTGTTTCCTTTATTTACTCTAAATGCACCTTACCCATAAAAATAATATTCAACGATTTCTTTTTAAGAAATAGAACAAAGCCTCCACCTACGATATGATTCCTTTTTGACTTGTAAAGATTTGTACAAGCTTACATGCAGTTTCTCGCATGCCTGAACTCTAGGTGTTTATGATGTGTGATATAACAATTAAAATATGGTAAAAAGTTAATAAAGAAGAGTCACTTCATAAAAAAAAGGAAACATCCACAAAACAGATTAGGGAGTACTCGGCCAAATTTTAATGTCCAAACCAAAATGTCATTATCTTCCAAAATCTAAGCATCTCCTATCACAGATAGATGAGAAAATATTGCAACAGCATTTTGCACTTACTGGTATAAAAAGGTTCGAATCAAAGAGTATCCAGGGCAAATACAAGATGGTTTGGTAAATTTCAATATGACAGTCAATTTGTTCGGGTTGAGTTTCAGTCCAAAGAAAATTGAAAGGAATGGAGAAAAAGTACAACACAAAACAAAAAAGCGATACAGTGAATGAATATATAAATACACCAACATAAAGACACCCAGACAGAAAAGAGGGAATCTGAACACCACCTATTGTGCATAGTTCACAGAGCAATCACAAGAGACATAAATAGTACATGTTCCGACTTTGATGAGGAAGGATGTAAAGTGACTAAACAAGGTGAAAACATAAGAGAATGAAAAGGAAGTACATAGTTCAGTGTTCAAAACCAATAATATTGGAGTGAGTAAAAATACAAAAGAATTTGTATAGCCAGCCACAGAATAGACACAACGAAATGTAATGATAACTTGCAGGAGAACAATTAGTATGATGCTTGACAGAACCAAAACCGAGCTCACAGAAGAAAAACAATGGAAGAAATGTGATCAGAATAACAAGTTGATTAGTATGCATTAAAAGCAGAAAACAGCGAACCACCACGGGTATAAATCGGCATGATAAATGTCTTGTGATCTTACCATAGGGAATCCTACTATAGGAAATCCATACAGAGCCTTTTTTTTTTTTTTTGTTGACGAGGATAATCCTACATTTAACAAAAACAAGCAACTCAATTTATTGCTAAGATAATCATTCCAACGAAAAAAAAAAAGAAAAAGAAAACATTCACAGTAAAATAGAGTACTCCGACCTTAAAACTAATGATTGGGGGATTCTATCAAGAAGCCATGAAACACCCAAAACAATTATCCATGTTCTGATTTCCTTACAAAGGTTCCTCAGTAGCCACCCAATAGATAGAATACAAACCCGGAATCGTGGCGCTCACGCTCCTCTCCCTTATAAAACAGCAATCCATGCCTCAGTCCATGAGCCATTATCTATCACCGCTTCCGTGTTTCTCAATTGCCGGCAAATGTTCCAAGAGAAGCGATGATTTGCCGGAGCGCCATTTCTGGGGACAAGTTTTGAAGTTTAGGAGGAGGAGAGGAAACTCTTATGTTACGGACACGATGTCGTTCGGTCAACCCAGATTAAAAAAAAAAAAAGGTTCGACTTTCGAACTCTCAGGGATGAATTTTGCATATTTCTTTTTGCCGTAATTATGGATGAAATTTTCAAACTCGGGTTTGTCAGAGGAATTGTAGTTGAGCATATAATTTGGTGGCGGTTGATTTTGCAAAACCGATGCAGCAGCTGATGATGATGATGATGCAAAACCATCCAAAAACAAAGATAAAATTCAATTAGTAACACAAATTTTAGTACCGGAAAAGTGATGATGGGAACTAGCCAGTAGCCATGGGTGTGGTTTTTTTTTTTTTTTAATGAGATTGTGGTTATTAACAATAAAAATTTGGGTTGGTTCTATTTATAATCAATAATACTCGAACTTTGGTGCAACGAGTTTGATATTTTGATTCATATACTACGCAGTCGGTTGTATTCTAGTTTTTTAGGGGTATGTCTACAAGGAAAATAAATAATACTACATAATACTCCCTCTGTCCTATAATTACTTATCCAGTTTGCCAAAAAAAATTTGTCTCAAAGTTATTGTCTAATTTGACTTTTTAAGGATTAAATGACACATATACCCTTAGTAAAAACCATACACATTTTCTCCCATAGCAACGAAAACGGCGCTACTTCTTCCATGTCTCTCACCCAAAGAAAAATCACCACGGCCGCCTAAGCATGCCCAAGGTTCCTGTTTGAACCGGAACCAAACCGGAACTGAACCGGAAAATAAGATTCTGATTCTTGAACCGTCTCTAAAGGTTCTAAAATCGGAAGCGAACCTTGTATGGTGGTTCGATTAAGGTTCTAGTATTTTTTGAAACCATGAACCGGCTGTTCTGAACCGTAAAAATCGAACAATTCAATTTCCGGTTATATTGATTTTTTATAACTTAAAAAAATATAAAATATGCTAACAAAGTAATTTTATCGTTATTCAAAAAGTAAACCGGTGGTTTAATTACCAGTTAAACCGCCGCATAGTTATTTTTTCAAATATTACACGATCTATTTTTTTTTTTTATAGATAACGTTTGTAAGGATGATTTGTTGATTTGAATATCTTTTACGCACCGTGTACTATTGTTTTTCATATAGTTAAAATTTGAGATATACATGCGAAGTATAGTCCTTTTTTTTTTCAAATATAAAAAAATGAATTTGTTACTCCACAATTCATATTACTTTTCAAAAAAGAAAAAAAAAATGATTCATCTAACAAACAAAAGAAATGGTCCAATGCAAAATAATGTGACCAAAACGGCCACAATATAGAATCAAAACCAGGACCAAAACAGAATCGAAACCAAACCAGAACCGCGGTTTTCGAACCATAACCAGAACTATGGTACAAAGGGGCGGTTCTGATTCTTATTTTTATCAAACCGGAACCGCCGGTTCTAAAACCATAACCGGTGCTTCCAGAACCGTAGGCATGCCTGCCGCCGCCGTTTCGCCTTCCTCCTTCTTCACCAAATTCCTCCGTCTAAAACCTCTCTCTTCCGTTACCTCTCGCTTCACCAATCACCATTACCTATCTTCTGCCACCATCACCAATAATCAACCCGCACCAGAATCCGACCCCGAATTCAGCAAACATGACCCATCTAGTAATTCTTCCGATTAACGATTCCTACCATGAAATTTTCTTTTAATTATCAGTTAATTTTTTTTGGTTTGAATTTTGGGGGTTTGATTTCCTTGTTTTGCAGTTATGATTAAACAGGAGGCACCACAAGGGTTGAAGATGGAGAACCCGCTCCAGTCGGGCGACCCGAAAGATTTGGTTGCGGTGGATGAAGTGAAAGATGGATTGCTTGTGAGGATTCTCCTGCCTGGTGTGGGGGAAGACGGGTGTGAAGTTTGGGTGGAGATTTGTTCCGCCATTTCTGCTCTCCAAAAAAAAAAAAAAACTCAGTTTGGGTGGAGTAATTGATCTTTGAGTTTGGGATTTGGTGAAAAAAAAAAAAAGGCAGACGTCCTTTTCTATAGTCATCGACCGGATGAAACCAATTATGTACATAGGGGTATATTTGGAAGCTTTGGTCAAAATTTGGTTCGTTTGACCAAAAATAAAAACTTGCATTTTCACAAAACTGGACAATAATTATGGGACGGAGGGAGTAATTGTTAACTGATGATTACAAAATATATTGCTCTCCATCTTTATAGAATGTATACATTCATTCACTTAATTATTTTGTTAACAGGGACTAGGTAGACATGGGGATGCATGTAACCAGTGTTGTCAGACTCGGCTCGGACACAGGCTCGGCAAGGGTAGGGGTCAGGGGTTTTAGGGGTCGATTCGGGTCGACTGGGGGTCGACTCGGATGACGTCATTATAACGTAATAAATAATATATAATTATTATATATATTGATAATTAAAAAATTAATATTTATGTATCTTTTTTATCGTAATAGTCAAGAAATATTATTTTGAAGCAATGGTAATAGTCAACAATATTATTTTAAAGCATTTAATTACAATTTAAAATAAGCATATTAGTTTAATAATTAATAAATTAATTATTAGTAAATAAAATTTACAAATTTACAAGATAATCAACTTTTAGCATAACAAAATGTATAACCTAAAAACCAATTTCAACATATTTGAGATGTATTTAAAATTTTGAATAAAATAATGAAAGTTCATATGTGAGAAAAAAAATAAAAGAATTTTTCTTTAAAAAAAATGGTGTGTTTAATAATTTGAGTGAAAAGTTTGGGACTAAAATGACGAAATTAATTCTTTGAAGAAAGATTATTGGGTCATTTAAGAACAAAAAGTAAACATTTGGACCAGGAAAGATAAAGAAAGACACGGAGTCCTAGGGGAAAAAGTCAAAAGTGGTCAGGCCAAAAACTAAAAACTCCGGTTCGACCCGAGTTTGATTGGTTCCCGATTCGATCGGAGTTTTGACCGATTTTGACCGAATCTTAAAATAGAGAATTTTTAAGTAAGTCAGCTTGGACTATGGTCCGGTTCCCGAGTTAACCGGTTGACCCGACCGGTCCGAGCCGAGTTTAATGCCATTGCATGTAACAACACTATATTATGGCGAGTGGTTACATCACAAACCATCGACCTAGATCATTCATAACAATGATCATCTCTTAATATTAAATGGTACACCCGACGTCTCAAAATTATTGTCCAGATTAAAATTTCACTTTTAGTACAATTTGAACTAAAATTAAAAATTCAAATTGAACAATAATTTTGAGACGAAGAGAATAGTTATTAATATATCCTTAACTTAGGCATGACCACGGTTCATGTTTTAACTGGAACCAGACCAGAATTGGACCGTCGGTTCATAAAATGGACCGAAACCGTGAGTGATGGTTCATAAAACCGTAACCAGATCATCTAGTCAAGTGTCGCTTACAGTTCAAACCTTCTGAAAATAGTAAACCGGCGGTTCAAACTGAAGGTTTTGAACCGACGGTTCAAACCGTCACAAACCTCCGGCTAAACATCAGTTTTCTTAAAATAATTATAAAAATATTAGTTATTATGAACACAAAAATGTTAATTACTTTGTTTGTTGTATCAAAGGATAGGTGTATTTTGTTTTCCAATAGATAATTTTTGAAATTTTTTTTCCATATTACCGTTGTGTTTTAAATGTCATTTATAGAATCTCAACACACAAATACTTAAAAATAAGTGGTTGATCTAATTAATTAGGGGTTGAATAACATTTTTTCATTTGTTAATGATTAGCCCGTAACTCTTGTGGTGCTCAAAGTATGTAATTTTTTTTTGTTAATAATAACATTTTGTTGTCTATGTATTATCAAGAAAAGTTTGTAATGATAATTCATATTTTTGAATAAGTTTTAAACATTGCATAATATACTTACTTTTGTTATCTAATAAAAATAAGAAAATACATCTGATGCTGTCCGAAATTTAGGTAAAAGAATTTATATTAGGTTTTTTTTTTATTAGGCTAACAATCACATATCATTATAGACATATTTTGAGGATTTGAATAAGTTCCTTCAAAAACCAAACACGAAATTTTTCTTTTGTTTTTTTTTTTTTTTTTTGAAAAACACAACACAAAAAATTTGTATAAAATGGGGTTAAAATCATAAAAGAACAGGATTTAAACCAGTCAACAAATCGGAGTGTCCGGAACCAGAACCGGCTCGGAATCGGACTTTTACCCGAATGTTTATGAACCGTAATCATAATCATAGAGTTAAGGACTGGTTAAGCTCATCCATTTCCTGAACCGTGAACCGGTGGTTCATGAACCGGAACCGGCAGTTATGAACCATGTTCATGCCTACCTTGAATAGTGTTTCAGCTAAAATATTGAGTTTAGTTCTTTTTTCCATCCCGGATGATTTTTCAGTTTAGTTTTTTATTTTTAGTTTAAACTAGATGTTAAACCCGCGAGATGCACGGGGTGTATTTATATACATTATAAAAAAAATCAACAAAAAAAATATATAAAAAGTGTAAAATGTATTTGGAGTCCATATTAAGATACATTACACAATTAAAATTAAATAAAGGCGTAATTGTAAAGATAAAATAATACATATCATTTGAAATGCAAGCGTTTAGTTGATTAAAGAAGAAGAACTGGACAATAACACTCATAAGGAGAGTAAAATAAAAAAGATTTTATTAATGTTACATATTGAATGAAAAGATAAAATGATTGTACGCGTAAAATACATAATGAAGTAATTATCAATAATAGATGGTAGACTGACTATGTGAGACTGAAGTGTGAAGTTTAAAATTTTTATAGTTATTTTGTTGTATTTAAAGATTCTATGGTACTGTTTGGCTCAATACTTAATATTTAGAGCAACAAACCAACTGTAGAGTTAAAATTTTTGCCCTTTAACCCCTTTTTGCTATGACAATAGAAAATAAGAATTAATGAAATTATTAAATTATGGGTAAAAAAACATAAATTTAGTAACGTCTAAAAAAGAACCCTAAAGCATCATTTTGCATAAGAACATACCGAAAAAAAATCATATACAACCTTAATTAACCATTACCTCCCATGCCACACGATCGACCCACTATTAGTTCATCACTTTCAGAGCAACAAACTAACTGTAGAGCTAAAGTTTTTACCATTTCATCTTTGGATTTCGGGTTGTTTTGGGGATGGAGAAATTTTTGCAGCACTGGAACATACTCATGGTTTGTGTGGCATATATAAATAGAGATAAATTGGGATTGCTGATAATTGATTATCTAAAATTTCAGTGAGAAAGATAAAGTTTATAACAATTTTGAGATATTATTAAGGAAAGATTATATTTATTTGGGTAGATATGATATTATACAAATAAATGCATTGGTTTGAAATTCAAAAAATAACATTTAATTATAGTTAAATCCCATCCTTTTAATAATAATTGAAGTCAAGTTTTGTACCTTTTTTTTTTCTTTTTTATTGGCGAAAAATACATGGTCATGTTTTTGGGAGAAGATTTAAAGATAACATTAATGTTGAATGATTGGTATTTTTTTTTTGAATTGTAGTCTATTGATTTACATGATTGGGAGGGAGATTTTTTTTGGAAAGAGATTAATTAAATAAGTCCAGTAGTAACTTTGGGGATTCTTTTGGGAAGAGAATAATTCTGGTGCATTAATGTTCATTTATCCCGTCTCTTAAATTTAATTAATTTTTATTTTCCTATTTTAAACTATAGTTTTAAATGCCATTATATAAAACTTTATTTACATGAAATTTGAAAGATTATTAGTATAATTGTTGTAAATATTTTTTGACTTAAGCATTATAAAATTTGTTGTAAAATTTGTTTTCTCTCTCTGGTTTCTCTCTTAGTATAATACTATAGATTACAATTAAAGTAAAAAAAACAAAATCTAAACTAGTCAATTATTTTAAAAGAGGAGTATTTCTTAATCGCTTAGACATTTCAGAATTCAACGAGACCCAATCCTTAAGTTTAATCAAGCACAAAATTGATTAAGGAATTGAAGAGGCAAATATACACATAAACGACGAAGTAATAATACTACTGGAACTTCGAAAATATAATTTTACTGCAGCATTGAATAATTTAAGCTAACAGCCTGAAATTAATGGGAATTTAGTATCGTAATGATTAAATATGATAAAATTGGCATTTAACAAAAAGATATCTTAACAAAATTACATGGAATATAATAAGGGGAAAAAAACTGAACAAAACAATAACTACCTAGATACTCCTTGTAAAAGAGGAATTTACAACAGTAAAGAAAGAAGAAAAAAAAAAAGAATTGTGAACAAGGTAATCGATTAATTAGCCACCTCCAATCAGTTCTTTGAAGTCCTTCAGATCACAACTGTTGGGTTGAATAATCCGATTGTCGTCAACAATAGATTGAACAAAATTTGCTGGCACCAAACACTTCTCCATTGAGTACAATTTCTCTTGAATTATAGAAGACCCGAGAAGTGAATCAAGTTCTTGACACTGAAATAATGTCTCCCCATTTTCCTGCAAATTATGTTGCAAAAATTTACCATTATTTTCAGATAATATGAGCTACCTAACAATGGAAACAATTCGTCATCAAATGAATCTTATAGAAACATTCCCTTATTTCCCGAGTCAGAAATAATGGTAGTACTAACTGCTAAACTGCAAAACCCTTGTCTTAATATAGGCATTTTCAGTCCAAAAATGACCAATTTTGACACGAAATTACCATTCCCCTGTTTTTCTTATTTCTTAACACGGTCTAATTCAGTTACATCTCCACTTATGAACTGTAAATAACAGAACAAAATAGTTAATGAAAATTGAAAAATTTATGAAGCTCAGAATTCGTTAGTTTACCTGATGATCATCAACAGAAGCAAAGGATTCAAGAACTCCAACTTGAGCTTGCAAGAACTTGATGTACTTATAAGCAGCTTGAAACATTTCAGCAGTGTTCATCTTCTGACCACCGGGAATTAGCTTCCCGAGCTCTTGAGTCTTCTCTGTAATCTTCCTCCTCCTCTGCCTCGCCGCCACACTCTGAGTAGACAGCTTCTTGCTACCACTACTAATACTACTTCCACTCCCGCCGTAGCCGCAGCCCTTGTCGCTTCCACCACCACTTCCGATGCTGAACACCGGGGGATAATTATCACCGGTGAACCCAAACGGAGGAAAAATCTCGGGCGAAAGTAGAGGATGAGGAGGATTCGGGTCAAACCCGATAACACCGTTACCGCTGCATAAACTCGGCAAAACTCCTCCATTGTCATTCTCGCATGACCAGATGCTGTTAAGGTAATCTCCATCGCAGCCCTTTTGGCGTTTTGCTGTGGGAAACTGTTGGAATTCATTTTCAGGGGAAATGGAATAAAGGGTAGTATTGCTAAGATCATTCTCATAGTTAGAAATTGAGTACTCATGAGACTCAGGAACAAAGAAAGGATCAATAAAATTATTGTAAGAAGAAGATGAAGAAGATGAAGAATCCGGGAAATTAATCAACGAATTCTGGTAGTAATTATCATTGCTTAATCCGAGAATGTCAGGTAAATACTCTAGCAACACTGGATCATCATGATGATGAAAAACAGAGTTCAACTGCTCGAGCTCTCCCAAATTTGTTGTTGTTGCTGATGAAGGATAGTAGCTCAATGCCATCTTTTTTTTATAGGAAATGTAATGAGGACCGTTTTAGTGAAGGCAAAGTGTGGTAATGGATTTGACACAAAAACAGACACTGAAAGAAAGAAATTCGAGTACTCTGTCTTAGATTCTTCTGCAACTGTTTAGTGTTTTTTGGGCTGTTTGTTGAATAGAAGTGGACTGAGAAAAAACAATTTGTGAAGCGGACGAGATTTTGGGGTGTTTTGTTTTCTTGCTTTAACCTCAAAAAGCTCTAATCTGATCCAACTACTAAATAGTAACAGTTAGTTTGAAAGTCTGGTTTTAGGGGGTGAGTTAGATATTGAGAGAGAAAAAAGGGAAGAGAGAACGTGGGAGAAAATGCAGGTTACAGTTAAAGTATAATTAGGAGAGTTATTAGGAGATAATGATGTTGGAGTTTTTGCTTGAGTAACCGTTCCCCATTTTAATACGGGAAGCTTTGGCGGTTGTTTTCTTCTCACTTTTTCACCTTTTTTTCCATAACGGGCCGGTAGCTTTTGTTTACTTTTGTTTTTTTACTGATGATCATATGCAATAAAACTACATAAAAACAAAAATGGTGATTATTGGTTTAGGATCTCACTCATTACTACGAAATGGGGTTAAAGAAAACAAAGAAAATTATTAATTGCCTTGAACGATGAGTTATGGAATTACTACTGCTATTGTGAACCACCTACTATAATTTAGCAAATAACTAAACCGTCAAAGATTGAGTAATATACACATACTTCTTTTTCTCGGGGTAAATAAATATCTAAAATTTTTATATATAAACACTTTTTATATTTTTTTTCATTTTAAAATGATAATATAACACGTAAAGAAAGTACTGTTGAAATTGGTTGGTTCAATTTCAGTGTTACAAAAGGACTTTGATAGTTTGATGAAGACTAATTATTTTTTGACGCTAGTTCACACTAATCACCAAAGCGCATAAATTGATTAGATTAGAATTAGTAATCACAGATTCACAGCTCTGTTTTTACTTTTTACAGTAAAATAGCTCAAACTCGAAATGGGGCTCGGTCAATGAATAGACAAATTCTTACTCTTCAAGGAAAAAAAGGAAAATGGAGAAGGACTGGGTCAAACTCACGTGGATTTGTTGACGTCACCAAAAGCCCAACGGTTCATGTTACAGTTTTACAGTTTACTTCATAGTAGAAGTAATACAAGTACCGAAATCTTTTTACCAAAAAAAAAAAAAAAGAGTTACCGGAAATCTGGACTGAAGTAATTGCAAATTCAGTCCAATTACAATACTTTTATTACAGGGTACGAACCCTAATTTTATCATGTAAAAGTAGTTAAACATGTTATTGGATTAATATAATTTTAAAAGTAAATACATTTTTTATTCATTCTGTTTCAATATACAATTGTCTTATTTGTTGTGTAAGGAGTATCGTCATTTTCAAACAAGAAAGTAAAAGAAAATTGATTTCTTGTTTCAATCTGAGCCTAGAATGGAATTCAAATTTTTGATCCGGGAGTAAATTAATTAAGAAATAGATTACATGCAGCTTCAAAATTTAGCGCCAAAACCTACTCATAAAATTAGGTATTAAGTGGTACTAATGTAATTAAATAAAATTCTCCAATATCTGCCCACAAATTTTCTCTCAACAATAATATCCTTTCAAGTTCTTACAAGTCATCTAATCTAAAAACTTCAACTCTTTCTTCGCACAGTGTGGGCGAATACTGTGGGCAAAAACACGTCCACTTAGGCATGACCACGGTTCAGGTTTTAACTAGAATCGGCCTGGAACCGGACCGTCGGTTCATAAACGGGATCGGAACCATGAGTTTTGGTTCATAAAACCGTAACCGGACCGTTTAGTCAAGGGCCGGATATGGTTCAACCTTTCCAAAACTTGTAAATCGGTGGTTCAAACCGGCGGTTCAAACCGTCAAAAACCTCCGATTAACCATCAGTTTCATAAAAAATAAGTATAAAAATATTAGTTTTTATAAAAATAAAAATGTTAATTACTATCTCATTTTCAAAATAGATGTCCATTTTTTAATTTGTGATTGTATCAAAATATATGTCTATTTTGTTTTCCAATAATAAATTTTGAGTTTGTTTTCCATATTACCCTTATGTTTTAAATATGATTTATAGAGTCTCAACAAACAAATGCGTAAAATTAAGTGGTCGATCTAATTAATTAGGGGTTAAATAGAATTTTTTTCATTTGTTAATGATTAGCCCGTTACCATTGTAGTGCTTAAAGTATGTAATTTTTATTTTTTTTTGTTAATATTATGTTTTGTTGTTTCTATATTTAGAAAAAAATGTAATGATAATTCATCTTTTTGAATAAATTTTAAATATTGCCTAATATAATTTTTTTGGTTATTATTTATAAAATCAAGAAAATACATGTGAAGTTGTCCAAAATTTAGTTAAAAGAATTTGTATTAATTTTTTTTGCTAGGCCAACAATCATACATCATAATAGACATATTTTGAGGATTTGAATGAGTTACTTTTAAAACCAAACACGAAATTTTCAATTTTTTTTGTTTTGAAAAACACAACACAAAAGAATTGTATAAAAATTAGATTAAAATCGTAAAAGAATCGGATTAAAACTGTCAACAAACCGAAGGGTTCAAAATCGGAATCGGCCCGAAACCATACCTTAATCGGAGGTCTACGAACCGTAACCGTAACTGTAGAATTAAGGGCCGGTTAAGGTTCATCTGTTTTCTGAACCGTGAACCGGCGGTTCATGAACCAGAACCGGCAGTTCTGAACCGTGATCATGTCCACTGTGTGCAATTGAATATTCTCTTTTCCGGCAAGCGACATCGTGCCCATGATGGTGGAAAAAACGAAGAAGAGAGGGAAGCAAGTGGAGATAGAGGCAATTCAACCGGAGGATGAGCTAATTTCAACCGCCACTATGAACAATCAGAATCCCGATTCTCAGGTACAAAACCCTAAACCGATCCCTGCTTCAATTGATAGTCAGACTAGAGGATTAGAACTGTTATGTCAGCAAAAGGTCTTTCAGATTGGGGAAATGTCGGCTTCTAAGCCAGCTAGTCCCGAGGAACAAACAAGAAGTAATAGATCTAATGTTTGGGCTTCTCTAGATAAGGGGGTGAAAGAGGGTATGAGTCGGAAACTTGAGTTCATAGCTCCAAACAAGATGAGCGATAAGAACATTGCTAGGGTTTGCAAAGGAGAGTTCCAGGAGGTTATTGAGTATTGGCGGCCTTCTTTGATCTGTTATATATTGGGTGCTAACTCACCTTTTTATGTGGTCAATGGGTATTTAGGTCGAATTTGGGGAAAGTATGGGGTTGACAAGATTTTGTTATTGGATAACGGTGTTTATGTGGTAAGGTTTAATTCCATTACTGCTAAAGAAGAAATTATGAGTCAGAAAGTGTTTCATTTTGATCATAGACCACTGATAGTGAAGGAATGGTCCGTTGAAAAAGGCTTCAAAATTGAAGTGTTTCAGGTGCAATTTTTCGTTGTACCCTTGACAAAGGGAAATATTTGAGAGTAGTATTATGAGGTTAATGAGCTAGTGATCCATGTCTTCTCATCCCAAGGAGATATGTTGTCAAGGGCTCCAGCTTTAGGGTTTTGTTTTACCAGTTTTATGTTGGAATTGGACATACGTTTTGAATATTCATCAGTTCTATCTCTTATATCTTTCAATATAAGGAAAAATTATAGTATTGATTTTTCTTAATCTAATTCAGAAGAAGGAAATTTATCTCTTATATCTTTCAATAGAAGAAAAAATTATGGTATTACTTTTTCTTAATCTAATTCAGAAGAAGAAAATTTATTATCAATTTCAAATTTAAAAATATTGGAATTCGAAGGGGGAAGTAAAATAAAACTTTTATAGTATTACCTGGGGATTTTTGTATGTATGGGTAATGGGTGTAAATCAAACTTGTGTTATCACACAAGTTATTTTGTTAAAGTTTTTTTATTGAATGACTTGGGTGTAACGTCATTATTGAATATTTTAACCGATGGGGGGTTCTTGTGTTTATTTGTTTGATTGATAACGTCATTATTGATAATGCGTCCGATTTCACTAGTCTTTGATATAACTAGATACACGATCAACTGATAATTTACTACTATTTTCTGGAGGATGTACATTTTCGCATATGTATATCAATTCTTAATTTATTGTTAATTCTTATACGTATGCAAGAAGATCATTATTTTTTGTTTGGTTATTTCCGGGAAAACTGTTCAGTTTTTATGAAATCAACACTTAATTACAAAAAAACATATCATCTCATGTTGTGCACATTTAAAATTTAAAGAAAAAAAATTATGGAAAATATATTCCCTCCGTCCCATAATTATTGTCTAGTTTGGATTTTCATTTTTAGTTCAAATTGTACTAAAAATGAAATCTCAAACTGGACAATAATTTTGGGACAGATGGAGTATGATCTTGCCTAAAAGAAGTTTGATCTAAATTTTGAAGACATCCTAATCCTGCCCAATAACCGGAAACCCTATTAGCACAAGTCTCCCACCTAATCCTGCCCAATAACCAGAAACCCTATTAGCACAAGTCTCCCATCCATTGTTACAAATACCTGTGTGGGATATATATGCCACCTTCAGGCTTCATTCTCACACAATCACAACCGAAAGCCTTTCATATATCTTCCCCTATGATCCACAAAATAATTCAGCTCTCGAGTTTTTCTCTCATGTGTTGCATATTGGGATCAGACCGCCATCCCAAATCTGATTTCTCATCGGCCCTTCATCAAATCAAAATTGAACAGCCATTACGAGAAAGCCGGTTGGGTCTTCCTCAATTCAATCAGGTTTGGCTCGATGCAGAAGAAAAATGTTCCGATCAACCTGGAAATGATCAAGACTAATAGATGGAGAATCTGCTTGCTAGCATAAATCTCAAGGTGCTTAAAGAGGGAACTAGAACTCCGACTAATAGTAGTAAGTTTTTTTGTAGAGTTCTACTTGTGATCTTATAAACACAAGTTATTCAATAATGACTAGTATGGCATATGATCTTACAAACAAATTTTTTTTTTTTTCACAAAAAAATAATGACGTTTTATATGCATTTTTCACAAAGTTCTTATGTATTTATATCAATGACGTCGGTCGAACACACACAAAAAATATAGAACGGGAGCCCGTAATTCCACTGAGTTGTATCTAGTATTAAAGAAAATCGGTGTCTTTTAATTGACCATAAATTGATTTCACTGACAGTGTCATTTAGTTATTTGTAATTCATTAAACAGTAATAATATATTAGTAAAACCGTTAATTTAAAAATTTACCATGACTTATATTTTATTTAGGTAATTTATTTTTTTTAGCGACGTCCGGTCATCGGTAAAATAACATCATGATTGGCGTCCGGTCATCGGCTTCATCAACAGATCATCAAATTGAGTCAGCATCAGATTCAATCCGCATCATCTTTTCCCACGAAATATAATCAGAAATTTGCCCAAGAAAAAACAATAACTATGGTAATCAGGAAGGTCAAGCTTACCAATCAGTTCTAACTATAAAATCAAGAATACTAAGGCTGTCCAAGGCAGTGAATAAATAGATACAAACTACTATTCTTGAAGTCTTTTAATTTTGTTCTTTTTGTTTTTGTTAGAATTATGTACTAAATAAGAATTTTATCATTATTGAGCATTAGGTTTACACCGAACACTTACGACCAAATTCTTTCAAGCCAAACGTTGATTAGAAATCTCACCCGATCAGTATGATATAAGATCGTATATATCATAATAACTTATAAGTTATTATGCATAACTGATATTACAAGTTTTTCTTTATCCAAACGTCATTACTGATAATGCACACATAAGATCATCAAGAGACTAGTCATTATCAAAAATCGGTTAAAATATTTTTTGTGAAACTAGTCATTATCAATCAATTCTTTATAAGATCATATGCGAAAATTTCGTAGAATTAATGTCATCATATGTGAGATTAATATCAGATTCATTCCCACAAAGAATTTGCAACTCCATCGGAAAATAAAAAATTAAATCTCTTAATTTTTCTTCATGTTTGTTTGCAATTTCAGATAAACACATAAAGGTTACTTTTAAATGCAATGCCTCAGCCTGAAGTTCAAGTCTAATCCAATCCCATAACCATTCAAGTGCTTGTCCCTAATTCTTTTGAACCCTTTTGAGCCTTACTTGACAAGGTTGCACTTGGCATAGGTATCACCCATTGCATTAAGACCAAACGCATCATTACTATACCCAAGAGGAATCATATGCTGATGAGCTACCTCATCTACCCGGTTCAGCTCAATGCCTCCACAACGCAAGGAAAAGTCTATTAATAAGGTACCACACACCCTTCAACCATTGGCAGTGGAATCTCACTTTAAAAAAGAAGGCCTCAACCCAGGGGTATCAGATGAATACTAGTGTTAACAATTTCAAGGAAACAAATATTATGCACGACAAACTTCCTTGAACCCATGCTCATACTTAGCAAAATTTTCCTTTTTTGGCATAGAAGTATACAACAAATGGTCATCACAAATGAAGCACATCATGAAATAGGTTTTCTCTAAAATCCAAAGGATTTTTTTTAAAAAAGAAAAAAGCTGAACATGTCTATGATTTACCCTTGGTTCAAACATCTTTTCAGGGCAATCAAACACCAAACATCACAGTGCAAATCATGCTAACCTACATTAACATAAATCATTTGAGAAAATACATCAAACATCTCCTCACATATTCCCACTATTTCTCATTCATACTGTAAATCCGCCAATCTACATTGGTGTAAATCCTTTGAAAAATTACATCAACCAACCTGTTCTTGTATTTCCACTATCCCTCAGTGAAAGCGCTTCACTTAAAATATCCAGTTGCTATTCATGAGGTGTTCATAAGTCGCTGGCACCATGGTGGATCTAAGTCTTGTTCCCTGAACGTGGATTGTGACTACCCAATGGTCATTCCTTGCTCTGAGATCATTAACTGTTTTAATGTCTTTTTTGGATTTAACTAGTACGTCATCCATGTTGATGAGCTCTCTCTCCAATTTCCATATCCTTGCAGCTTGAGCATGACTGTTAGGATTGTCCTTCTTCATAGCATTTGCTGCTCGGAGGGCCCTCAAAATCTTGTCTGAAACTGTAAGTGGATCCTCATGTTCCCCGAATTGAGTGCCAGGATAATACTTGTTCTGCCATTAATTGACACATACAACAATATAAGCAATCATATGAACAAAGATTACAAAATTACTTGGGTGCAAAACACAGTCTCACTATCACTTACCACTGCTTGGTCGACAATCTTCAGGAACCTGGGCGTTAAAGAACCTTCACCCACCAGAAATCCATCTATATTTTCTTTGCGAGATAGCTTCTTGTACTTGGTTGTAAGGCCTGCATATATAATCCTGATAGATTGAGCCACAGCAGAGGTTTTGTTAGAATGAAGCCACTCCCTCAATCTTTTGTGCACTTCAGTAGCAACCTTCCAACTTGCTCCAACAGCAGGCTGATAAGCCAAAACCACATTGGTCCAATCTGTAACATGATCAACAATTGCCTTGATTTGAGTTGTTAAATCTGATCCTCCTGGTTCAACATTCTCTCCAACACAAGCAATCACTTTCAGCCCTTGTGAAAGAGCATATTCCACCTTTTCTCCAACTAACTATTATAAACTCCCAAAAAAAAAACATAAAAATCAGTAAACTCCCAAAACACACATAAGTGAATTGTAAGCTAGTTACCAAAATCTGTTCAGAAATGAAGGAAAATGGACAAAACCTCATCTAATTCACCCCAGAGTTGTCTCCTTTCTGAATGTCCCACAATGACCCAAGTAATGCCCAAATTGACAAGCATCTCAGCACTAAATTTAAACAACAAGTGAGAGATTGAACAATATAACTTTCCACAACATGGAACTATCACAGCCTGTGTTTAAGTAACTACAACCTACACTATCAGTTACCTAGTTTATGGTCTTATGGATAATCTTTAATCAGAACGATAAGTTACACGGTCTTATGGATAATCTTTAATTAATCGATCGGATAATACAAAATACAGAGCATACAAGACCAATGATGTAGCATGATACACAAATTTCTGCAATGTTTCATTTTGAACCTTGATTTCTCGAAAACAATTGAAAGTTCTCCTAAAATTGGGAAACGAACCTGATTTCAGCTGAGTAACATCCTTTTTTCTCCATCTCCATCCAGAAATTTTGAGATGCAACATCCACATCCCGTCGCAACGAGGAGCGGGTGAGATTAAGGAACACTTGCGGAGGGGAGACCACAACCTCTGCATCTCAAAGCATAAATGTAAGCCAAACAAAAATCCAATTCAAGAAGACCAAATCTCAACACGAATTATGTATTGTTATCAAATATCTGACCTACTAAAACTCTTCAGGCAAAACTTCAGCTTGCCATTCAGTGCTGAGATCAAAGTGGTTACCGCATCAGTGTTGACATCACTCTTCCAGTTACCACAGACGAAGAATGTTCTAGTAGCCATGGCGATCAAGAAATCGATATTTCTACTTAAAAGAAATCCAAAAAAATCAGACGAGAACAAACAAAATGACGTGATTTGTATCCGAAATGAAAAGAAAATAACTAAAGATCGAAGAACAGGCGATGAATTTTTACGGAGGAGAGAGAATTGCAGTGAGATAACAAGCAGAGGAGAGAGAATCGCAGTGTGAGCAGGAATTGTGTGTGTGTGTGTGTGTGTGTGTGTGTTGTGGCGGGATAATGAAGTGCGTTTAGAGAGGGAAAAAAGAAAATAGTACTGTACTTCTCATATTATTTATGCGTAGGTCATATATCATTAAGGCAGTTATATCACAAACTCCTCAGAATACGTTTTTGCCTCCAGCTTTCATTTGAAAGCGTAGATTAGACTTGGAAAACGAACGGTTGATCTAACCATTTCGTGTTGTCCACTCAACTTCAATTTTTTAAAAAAAAATAAAAAAATGAAAATGCCGCCAAAACTTTTTTTTTTTTTTTTTTGGAGCTTATAGGATTTTAACCCAAGCAAAATTTGGGCTATGTCATTACAGTATCTAGTTATATAATTTTATATGATCTTGTTGACATAATTATAAAATGCTCTATAAAATAATCTACGCATTTTATTTTCCATGGCCTTAGTTGATCGTAGTAAATGGGGGTCTTTTTTTTCTTGATAGGGGGTTCCTCTTCATCTGATCAATGAGAAGAACTCTTGGATCGTGGGTATCGTGTCAAATTTTGTTCTACTCATCTTAAAGACTATTCCGCACATATTGTCTGCTTTTCCAGACCCTCTGCAGTCTCACTTTCTTCATCAGGTTCTTCATGTGTGTCTTATCCTATTTAGAAATATGTGATTTGTGATTCTTTTTCTCCGAATCATCCTGTTTTCTTGGCCAGTATCACTGCAGGTCATGATCCCCGTAATTTTTCTAAGGCTGTCAAAGATTCTCGTTGGCGCACTGCCATGCAACAAGAAATTCAGGCGCTAGAGACTAATGGTACTTGGACACTGGAGTCTCTTCCTCCTGGAAAACGTGCTATTGGAAGCAAATGGGTGTTTAAGATTAAGCATCGCTCTGATGGGTCCATTGAATGGTATAAGGCACGTTTGGTCATTCTTGGCAATAATCAGATTGAGGGCCTCGATTATAATGAGACATTTGCACCTGTTGCCAAGATGGCGATTATTCGCACTTTGCTCACTATTGTGGTAGTAAAAGGTTGCGAAATTCACCAGATGGATGTCCATAATGCCTTTCTACATGGTGATCTTGATGAGGAAGTTTACATGCGCCTGCCACCTGGTTTTTCTTCATCTCTTCCGGGTACGGTTTGCCGCCTTCGAAGATCCTTGTATAGGTTGCGGCAGGCGCCTAGTTGCTGGTTCGCCAAATTGGCAGCTGCCTTGAAACAATATGGTTTTAAGCAATCTTCCTCCGATTATTCTTTATTCACTTTGCGCAAGTCTACTCACCAACTTACTGTTCTCATTTATGTGGATGATTTTGATTATTTCTGGTGATGATACCCTTGACATTTAGTCTTTCAAGTACTATCTAAGTCGTTGTTTCCATATGAGGGATCTCGGGGTTTTGAAATATTTTTTTAGGTATTGAAATTGCTCGTAACTCTACTGCTATTTTCCTGTGCCAGTGCAAGTACACCTTGGACACTTTTTCAGAGGTTGGTCTCCTAGGTGGCAAGCCTGCCACTTTTCCGCTTGAACAAAATCATAAGCTTCAGCTTGCTTCTGATGCTCCTCTATCTGATCCAGAAAGATATCGCCACTTGGTCAGCCGTTTAATCTACCTGGCTGTCACTCGACCTGAGCTTTCCTATTGTGTCCATATTCTTGCTTAGTTCATGCAGAAAACCATGCAAACTCATTAGGATGCTGCTTTACGAGTTGTTCGTTACTTGAAGGGTAGTCCAGTTCAGGGTCTTCTTCTACATGCTGATAGTGATCTGCGTCTTACTGGCTGGTGTGATTCAGATTAGGCCAGTCCGTTGACACGGCGTTCTCTTACTGGCTGGTTCGTCCAACTGGGATCCTCTCCTAATTCTTGGAAGAACATACTGTTGCTAGATCCTCTGTTGAAGCCGAATATCGAGCTATGGCTTTTTGTTGTGTGTGAGTTGAAATGGCTAAGAAATGTCTATGATGCAATGCAATCAAGTTAATTAGAGTCATTCCCACAAAGAATTTTGCAACTCCATTGGAAAATAAAAAATTAAATCTCTTAGTTTGTCTTCATGTTTGTTTGCAATTTCGTATAAACACATAAAGATTACTTTTAAGGACCAATTGTAATCTTCATTCAAATATCTTTTTTGAGCACAACTCAAATTTGATTATTTTCTCAAAATTGTCTAAGTGCATTTTGAGCAAATTCTCATCTAGAAGAATGGTCTCTCCTGACCAACTAAATCAGAGATCAACACACTATGATACGAGAAAATGGTGAATTTTGTAAAAAAGACACATGAAGAAAGGACACGAATAATTCGGTAAGAATATTTGCTTGTGATTATTACATGCTATTTTCTTTATTATATATGTTCATGTATTACAAGAACTGTGTTGATTGTGATCCTATCAATTGTATAATAATAAATTATTTCACAAAGGTACGCGCGAAGTGCATTAAATTCAACTAGTATGCAATAAAACACCACAAAAACAAAAATGGTGATTATTGGTTTAGGAACTCAATCACTATTGTGAAATGGGGTTTTAAAAAGTAGAAGAAATAATTGCCTAGGATGGTGAGTTATGGAAACTACGGTTGTTCTTGTGAACGATTTACTGTATGTTAGTAGATAACTACACAGTCAAAAATTGAGCAACAGACGTACTTATTTTTTCTCCGACAAATGAATATCTAAAATTTTTATTTCAAATATACTTTTTATCTTCTTTTCATCTTAAAATGTCAACTTCAGTTAGTGTTATAAGAAGACTTTGATAGTTTGATGAACTAATTATAAATAATTTACGAAAGTAAAATGGCCCAAACTCGAAACGGGGGCTTGGTCAAACTGAATAGAGAAATTCAGAAATCTATCTATTATATTAAAGCAAAATAAATTTGTGGAAAATAGTACACGTGTCAAACTCCTGTTAACCTGTTTCCCGCCAAAAGTTTTTAGTATACAAATGTTCGACGCATTAATTGTTAAACGTAATTTACAGAAACAATCACAGTTCATGGATGAATTTGATTACTTAAGGAAAGAATTGTAAAAAGTGATCATTTATTCAATGATTTGACCAAGACATAGAAGTTTCATTTGAAATGATTTGAAAATGATTAGGAAATGATAATTATGTTTGAATGTGGATGTTTTATCCACAGTTAATCGGCTTAAATAAATTAAGAAAGTATCACGAATTATTGCTCATTTATACTTTGATTTGAACGAGATTTGGAAGATTTTCTATAATCAATTTCAAAATAATTAGTAAATGATATTATGATTGAATGTGGACTCTTTTTCCTTACATATTTGATTTTGAAAAAATAGGAAATGATTACAAAATATTGATTGTGCATTTATTGATTAATTTGAAGCAAACGTGTTAGGACTACTATTTAACTCCATCCACCACTCCCCTATATGCACCCGTCCATAATATCGTTCTTTCATTCTCTACTTAATATAGGTTAGAATTAAGTGCTTTAAAATTTACTATTTTTTTTGTGCCCTCTCTGTTTCAATTTTTCTTTAAAATAAAACTTTTTTTGTCTTGGTTGAAGATGATAAAAATGGTCACCGAACGCATCGGTATGGCTACTAATTTTTTTGTTTATATTTTGTAAATTTTTTCCAAAACATGGCGTGCAAAATCAAATTTGCAGGTTATGTTCAATAATGTAAATTATCTCAAAACACGGCTCGCAAAATGTGATTTGTAAGTTATGTTTATATTGTGTAAATTCTTCCAAAACGTGACTTGTAAAATCTAATTTGCAGGTTACGTTCACTTGTTTTTTTTATCTAAACCCTAACCCTATCCCAATACATAGTTTGCTAGACAAAAGCAAATTATGTTCATATGATGTCTCACGTTTACAAAAACTATTTATTCTTCCTATTTTTATGAAGTACACTTTTTACTATATTTACTTATATACATGACTTCTAAAAACTAATTTGGAAGTCATGTTAAGTATTTGAAATTCCTAAAATATGGCTTGCGAAAATAGGTTTGCAAGTTGTGTTCACTTTTTTGAATTATCCAAAAACATGTTTTGCAAAATCTAACTTACAAGTTATATATAATTAGTTTCCTCAAATCTTCCAAAACATATAAGTACTTTTTCTATTACTATTATGCAAGTTACGTTTTGGGAGAATTTACACAAGTTATGGATGTTTTTTTCCTCAGTTATTCGGTTTATATAAATTTGGAAAGGGTCAGAATTAGTGACCATTTATTCATTTATATGACCAATTCAGGGAAGTTTTGGGAAATGATTATTATGACTGCATTTGTTCTTGAATCATTAGTTGATAAACAAATATTAATTGATTGATATGCACTGATTGATTGATTTGTGATAACGTGTTAGGACTGGTATTTAAATCCCACTCTCCTATATGCGCCGCCCCACATTATCCTTCTATTAATTCTTTGCATAATATACGTTAGAATTGTCCATTCACATTATCCTTCTGCTCATTCTTTGCATAATATAGGTTAGAATTGTCCATTTTGGGATCGATTTATATTTTTGATTATGTGTTTTTAATTTTACTTCTTCTTTTTTTACGTCCTTTTTGCTTCAATTCTATCAATTTTCAAAAAATTTGTTTGCTCTTGGTTGAAGGCTAAATTATATGGCCACCTAATCCAATTGGTATAGCCACTGAATATTTAGTTTCCAAATTTCTTTCTCCACTCTTAAAGTGCGTCGAATTTCTTTGTATGAAGGTTCACGTTTTCATTATCTCCCAAAACATAGCTTGCAAAACCTAATTTGCAAGTTATGA